TAATTAGGACATGTCAAATGATTTGCCTAATTTAAACATGTCCAACGAAAAAAAACAGCCTAGTCTTCGACAATTTATGTTTGAAAAAAATTAGAAGGATGTATTCTTACAAGTTTTCAAAAATGAAATTATTGATCACTTCAAAGTATGATATGGTAGTTGGATTATTATTGAGTCGTAAAACATTAGCTAACAAACTAGCTAAGTAGCTATGTGCACAAGTTTTTATTTTTGTTTTTTTTAAAATAAATAAATAAAAGATTAACATTTTTTTTTGTCAAACTATGTGATATTTTTATTTGTCATCCCTCAATTAGATATTCTTGGATCTGCAACTGGATACACGTGCAAATGTATAAATTTGATCATTAATTCCAATCAACTTATTTCCTATCACTCCTAACTTTGTACCCTATTAATTTTTATCACCCTCAACCGGTCATCCAACTTAATATTACAGGTTACAAGACACGTATCAACGTATGATTGTCTTATAAAATCTATAAAAAAATAAAAAAAACCACCCGTGCCCAGCCCTGCTGCCACCATGACCAGCCTAACCCCCTTCCCCCCTCCTCCCGGAGCGCCAGCAGCCGTCAGCCTCCTTCCTCTCCCCCAGTGTCAGCGCTTCCCCAACCACCTCCCTTTTCCCCTTCAATCACCACAAAATCCAACAAAAATCCCCAAATCCCAAACCCTAACATACATAACTTTCAAACTTCGACAGCGGAAAGCTAGGGCGGAGAGAGAGGGAGAAGGAAAAGGAGTGGCGCCGCGGCGGTGAGGGGGGTGCTTTTTGGATGTGTCCAGTGGTCTGGGATTAATGGTTGTTAGAGGGGAGTAGAGGTGTCCACCGTGCGAGTCGTGCGAGCTGGGTTAGGGTTAGGTGGGTCGCGGGTTGGGGTTTCATGACACACGGCACGACACACGTAGGGTAGGGTGGGCCGGGTCGTGGGTTGGGTCGGAGAAGTTGGACACACCAGGGTTAGGTTCGTGGGTTAGACGAGTCGTGGGTGGGTCGAGCTGGGTTTGTGGGTTAGACGGATCGTGGGTGGGTCGAGCTGGGTTTGTGGGTTAGACGGGTCATGGGTGGGTCGAGCTAGGTTCGTGGGTTAGACGGGTCAAGGTGGGTTAGTGAGTTAGGGTGGGTCGAAGGGTGGGTTAGTGGGTTAGGGTCGGGTGGGTTTGTGGGTTAGGTGGGTTAGGGTCGGGTGGGTTAGTGGGTTAGGGTCGGGTGGGTTTGTGGGTTAGGTGGGTTAGGGTCGGGTGGGTTTGTGGGTTAGGGTCGGGTGGGTTCGTGGGTTAGGGTCGGGTGGGTTGTGTGGTGTTTTAATTTTTACAAAATTAACAATTTGATGGCTTGCTCTTAATTAAGATGCCTACGTATCCTTATATTATAAAATAAGGAATCAAAGCCAGCGTAGTTCTTATATTGTACTTCTTTTGAAATTTGGGGGGGGGGGGCTTGGACCTATCTTTAGAAAACTAAAATTTAATTTTGCAATTAAATTGTAATTTTCGAAAAATAAGTTGCCTACGTATCCCGAAAGAATCAAAGCCCACGTAGTTCTTAGCGTACCTGATTTAGACTTTTCTAGCCACCCATGTTTGTTGCATCATCATCCCCGGAAGCTGCATCATCCGTTGACGACTCCAATATCATCACAGGATCATCTTCATCGTCTTCGTCTTCCTTAAAACCTTGAGTTCTTCTTTCAGCTTGATCCCAATCTTTCTTACAAACACAAATTTGAATGCTTTCCGGAGTTAAGCGGGATCTTTTTTCATCTAACACTCTTCTACCTGCACTAAAAGCAGACTCGGAAGCAACAGATGAAGCGGGAACTGCAAGTATATCTTTTGCAATTCTCGCCAATATAGGAAAACTTTTTTTATGTTCTTGCCACCATTTTATAATTTGAAAGTTGTTGTTGGTCTCATGTTGATATGACAAATAATCATTAATAGCAAGTGTTGAAGAAGATGATGATGAGAATGATGTAGATGCTTTGTGTTTTTTTTCATAACTTTATCAAGAAAACCAAATCTAGAATCGGAAGTGCTAGTAGTAGTTGGTGTTGCCAAATCAAAACCATAAATAGATGCATAATGATCATAAAGGTCTCCCAAAACAGATTTGCATTTGTTAATATATTCACTAACATCATAATCGATACTTAAACTTGTATAATAAAATTCTAAAAGATTTTCCAAACCTTCAGCTTTGACACCGGGGTCAAGAATAGCAGCAATTCCATAAATGATTGGAAATTCACTAAAATAAGTATGCCACTTACGTTTCATGCTATCAAGAACGGGACGAAGTCCATCAATCTTCATATGCTCTTCGATGGTGTGAACAACTTTAACACACTCAATTATGACTAAATGAACGTTAGGCTCATAAATATAAGAGAAAATATGAGTTGCACTATCAAAAGCATTTAAAACATCACGAACAAAAGAAGCATTAGTCCAATGACTTTCGGTTATTAACTCAGTAGGATCAACACGAGTCTCATTGTAAAGTTGGGTCAAAATATCACGATACTTTATAGCATCACTCAACAACTTGAAAGTAGAATTCCAACGGGTAGGGGTATCAATAGACCATTGTCTTTTCTTAAGACCTCTCTCTTTACACATAGCTATGTACTTTCTTCTAACTGACTGAGTAATCCTAATCCATTTTATAACTGTTCTAATTGGGTTTAGCAATGGTTGCAACTCAGCGAGACCCTCTTGAACAGACAAATTCAAAATATGAGCACAACATCTAACATGCAAGAGACTACCACCCAACAACAAATTCAACTCGGAGTCATTTTTCAAATAGTCAATACACTTTGTGTTTGCAGTTGCATTATCAAGAGACAAAGAAAAAACTTTATTATTCAAGTGAAATTCTTTTAAACAATCCAAAATACGAACTTTGATGTTAAAACCGGTATGCCTTTCTTCCATAGCTTGAAAACATAGTATACGTTTTTGAATAAACCAATCATCATCCACCCAATGAGCAGTAATGCAAAGAAAAGGTTCGCCAAAACTAGAAGTCCATGTATCACTTGTAAAACTAACACGACCATCAAAAGTACGAAATAATTCAATCAAACCACTCCTATACTTATAATAAGAAGTTTGTGTATAACGTCTTAGGGTATTTCGGGGGACACGAGTAAATGCAGGTTGTAATGCAACTTTATTAAAATGCTCAACGTTTGCATTTTCACCGTAACTAAAAGGGTATTCATTAGCAATAACTAAAGTACTCATTTCATCAATCATTCTATCTTTATTATAAATGAAAGGTGTACCTCCGCCGGGTTGGTTCATGTATCCACCCAATTGTGTTTGGACGCCACCCCCCGAAGGACGGGGGCCATTTTCGAACAAGTCGTGTTTATTTTGCAAATGCCGACTCAAGGTTCCGGTTCCATCTCCCGTTTTCCAATTATATGACTTGACATTTGCACCTAGCGCCTTGCAAATTAGGCATGTACACGTGAACCTCTTTGGTTGACCAGGTTGCCATCCCGGGGGTGTGACCTCAACTCGTTCAAAATGTTTCCACACCCAAGAAAAATGTGCTCGACCTCTACTTTCACCGCCACCACCTTTCATAAATCAAATTATTAAAATTAATTTTTAAATGCTATTCATGAAAATAAGCTTTTAAATTTTAAATATTTTAATTATACTTATTTAAACGCATTTTTCATGGTAATTAACTAATTGTAAATCATAGAAAATTGGAAACTAAACTAACTTTATAATCATTAATAATAGTTTTTTTAAATATTCATAACAATAAAAATTTAATTAGAAATTACCTTGAGATGTTGGTTGCGATGGAGGTGGCATAGTTGAACTTGATGATTGGTGGGAGAAATGTTGTGGTGGAGACGTTTGAATATTTTGCCCATCTCCTAAACCATAATCTCCATATTCATTGACAAATTGGTTTAAATTTTCCGTATTAATTTCATACGAAAAATTTGCACCACCACTCCTTTGGCTACCACTTCGACCACCACTTTGACTCCTTCCCATTCCTCCTCTTGAGCTCATTTTTTTTTTGTATGATTACTAATTATAATATGGAGAAGAACTTTTTTTTTTTAGAATCTTAAGAATACTAATAATAATATTAAGGAGATTTTTTTTAACAAAAATATAACTCTATATAACACTTGAGAATTTGAGAACAATAAGAATTTTTAAGTAAGAGAGAAAGAAAGCTTGAATTTGTGTGGAAATTTGAGTGAAATGGAATTGGTATTTATAGGAAAAATAGAATGGATGATCATACACTTAAAAAACTAGCCGTTAGATACAAAAAACTAGCCGTTAGATACAAAAAACTAGCCGTTTTTTTTTTTAAAATGGATGTTAGGCCGTGCGGGCCGTGCGGGTCGTGCGAATTGTGCGGGCTGTGCGGGCCGTGCGGGTTGTGCGGGCCGTGCGGGTTGTGCCGGCCGTGCGGGTTGGGCGTGCGGGTCGTGCGAATTGTGCGGGCTGTGCGGGCCGTGCGGGTTGTGCGGGCCGTGCGGGTTGTGCCGGCCGTGCGGGTTGTGCCGGCCGTGCGGGTTGGGTGGGTCATGCGTGCGGGTTAGGTGGGTTGGCTCGTGCGGGTTGGGTGGGTCATTCGTGCGGGTGGGCCGTGCGGGCTGGGTTGTGCCAGGTGGGTCGGGTTAGGTGGGTTCACGGGCTAGGTGTGTCGAATTAAATGAGTCAAAACGGGTTGTGCGATTTGGGTCGAATCAAACGGGTTAAACTGAGCTGGGTTGAAATGGGTTGTGTCGAAAATTTTGGACCCACGACACAACCCGGATTAAATCCGAGCTGTGCCGGGCTGTGCCGGATTGAAACCGGGTCGGACCCACGTGACCCACCAGCCGTGCGAGTTAGGGTGGGCTGGGTCCAACCCGGCCCACTGGCCACCTCTAGAGGGGAGCGAGAGGGAGATGGATTACGAAAGGTTTTAAGAGGAAAGGGGAGGGTGGTCGGGCATCGCCGGCACCCGGGGAGGTGATGGAGGACTGGGCGACGACCGACGCTAGAGGGGAAGGCTGTTTGGCTGGCCGTGGGTTGCCGCGGGTAGCCGTTCGTGGCAGCGGATTGATGTGGTTGGCTGGGTTGGTGGTTTACTAGTTTTGGTTTTTTTTGTTTTTTTTTTTTAATTACCTACTCAATAATTCACCAGTGAGTGTTATTGGCGGAAATAGTATAAAGTTTGGATTAACAAAAAAATAAATTGAAGTTGGGATTAATATTGGTGGATGAGGCAAAGTTGAAATTAATCATGCCAATCTTTTAATTTTTTTTTTTATTTTTTTTTACAAACAATTTTCCTATAATTTAATCTCACATAAACCTTTATAAACACGGGGGTTTATTCCGGAAACTTCGACAATATTCTACCAACACCCAACCTTCCAGACAACTCGTTACAAATCCTCAACAATCCAAACAAATTCCCCTTCAAATTATTGCTCAACACATATTTCTCCTCAATATATAAAGTTAGAAACCACCGTAATTCACTCTGATTCGATTCAATTATCACAAAAATTCTTCTGACAACCCAGAAAATCCAGCAAAGGAAGCACTGATTGTTGCAGGACAACAAAATTAAAAAGTGAAGAAAAGAAAGAGAGAAGAAGAAAAAATGGGTGTTGATTATTACAAGATTTTAGGTGTTGATAAGAATGCTAAAGATGACGATTTGAAGAAAGCTTACAGAAAATTAGCTATGAAGTGGCACCCTGATAAAAACCCAAATAATAAAAAGGAAGCTGAAGCTAAATTCAAGCAGATTTCTGAAGCTTATGATGTAAGTTTCTGACTGCCTTTTCTTATTGGTTTTGATATTTTTTTTATGCTTTTTTTTAAAATTATGTTATCTGGTGAATAATATTGGTGTCTCTGTACCCTTTAATTTGAAATGATTAATTTTATGAGTGTATAGTGATTAATCATGGACAACAGATTCTTTCGTTTAATATTGTCGTATTGACTATGGTTGAATTGATGAATTAATTACTGTTTATTAAGTATTTTGATTGTAAGGAATTTTTTAATTTGTAAAAATTGTAGAAAAAAATAGACAATTTCTTACAAGATTAAATTTGCAGGTTTTAAGTGATCCCCAGAAGAAGGCAGTGTATGATCAGTATGGAGAAGAAGGTCTTAAAGGCGGAGCCCCACCACCAGACGCGGCTGGTGGTCCGGGTGGTGCAACGTTCTTTTCTACCGGAGATGGACCTACCTCGTTCCGGTTTAGTTCACGGAATCCAGATGACATATTTGCTGAATTCTTCGGGTTTTCTAGCCCATTTGGTGGTGCAGGTGGTGGTGGCGGAGGTGGTGGCATGAGGGGCTCTAAGTTTTCGAGTAGTATATTTGGTGATGACATATTTGGAAGTTTTGCTGAGAATGGTGGTGGTGGTGGTGGCCCAATGCACTTCCAAAGCGCTTCGCGAAAGGCGCCACCCATTGAGAACAAATTGCCTTGCACTTTAGAGGAACTTTATAAAGGAACAACTAAGAAAATGAAGATTTCTAGGGAGATTGCTGATATGAGTGGGTAAGTAGTTTTCAATTTCTGGCTTGATTATGTTGAAAATTAACTTTCTCAATTGCTTTGCAGAAATCTATGTAGTTGTGGATAGCTTTTGGTTGATTTCCCAATCTATATGTTGCATATTTGGGTTTTTTTTTTTTTTTTTTGAAGACATGTTGCATATTTGTTGATCTTAAGTTCAATTTCTGTTTTCAAGAACTAGGTGATATTCTAATTGTGTTGATTTTAATTGGTTCAACTTAATCGCCATAATGTAGTATATTTTATTTAGTGAGCCTTTATGTATAGATAGCAAATAAACTCTAAAATTATGATTGATTGGTGAAGGGTTCTACTCATTTGTCCATTTCATTAAATATAATGTGTAATTGTATAGTTTCTCTGTTTCTATTTAGCTGATGCGTTTGATTTAGGCACATATATTAAGGAGAGGACACAGGGAGTGAGAGAGAATGAAAAAGCAAGTGGGATAACTTGTAAATACAAGGTACAAAAGTTACCCAAAAGGAAATGTGTCAAGTAAAAAAAAACTAATACGTGTCAACTAAAAAGAAACGAAGGTAGTATAAGTCAAGGTACGGCTTAGATAGTTACCCTGAAGGAGTCGTAGGTAGGGAAAACTTCAATGCACTAACATTCTTACTGATGGTATATTGATAACAACTCTGTTTGAATAAACTACTCTGAAAATGCAGTTTCTGCCGGCAGGGGTCCAGACTTATGTTTTGAACATCAATAACCAGTCATCAAAAGAAGGACATTGATTTTAGTGCTTTTAAAATATAATAATGGTTGTTTTAGAATTAAGCAAGGCACAAACATAAGTTGGTTTGTTAATGTTCAATCCTCGGTTGCCACCATTCTCTTGTTATATTTGCCATTTTGTATATGAATCTGATGAGTATTGATTTGCAAATCTCATTTGTTTTTTTCTTTTTGATCTGTTACCTTACTGATTTTTAATATTGCAGGAAAACTATACCTGTAGAGGAGATTCTTACAATTGAAATAAAGCCTGGGTGGAAAAAGGGCACAAAGATTACTTTCCCTGAGAAAGGCAATGAGCATCCAGGAATAACCCCAGCAGATTTGGTCTTCGTAATTGATGAGAAGCCACACAAGGTGTTCATTCGGGATGGCAATGACTTAATCGTAACTCAGAAGATATCATTGGCTGAAGCTTTAACAGGTTACACCGTTCATCTAACTACTCTTGATGGCAGAAATCTTAACATCCCCATCAACAATGTGATTCATCCGAGTTATGAGGAAGTTGTCCCTATGGAAGGAATGCCTTTACCAAAAGAACCGAGTAGAAGAGGCAATCTAAGGATCAAATTTGATATCAAATTCCCTACTCGGTTGACCTTTGAACAGAAAGCTGGAATCAAGAAATTATTTAGTTAGGCCACCCATGGATGAATGAACATCAAGCTATAGTGCATCAGTCGAATGTCACGGATACACCCAAGGATTGCAGGAGGTTGAGTTGAATGATGTGGGAGGGCATTGGTTTACAAATCAAGTGATTTTGTTGTAGATGGTTGGACTCTTTTTTTTTTTTTTTTTTTTTTTTTGGGGGTATTGTATTTGTTAATATTCTTGCTTTCACTGAGTTATAATGAGCTGCAACTTGATAATTATAATGTGACACTTGTGCAACATTGAACTGTAATTTAGCTATGGTCAGGTTTTAGTGTACTTAATTTTGCCTCCCCTAGTTACTGCTTATATGATAGAATGTGCCCACAATTGTCATTTATAGAATTTAAAATTTCAATTTACAAATTGTGATGTTTTACAGTTTTTCTCTTCTAAAACCTTCATTCTTTATTTTAGATTTTGTTTAAATTTTACACTCCATTCCCCTCAATCCAAGCAGGGCCTAAACTGTACGTCGGAGTTCTTTAAAAGCTCATGGTAATGTTTGGATGAATAGATACTGAATGGCATTTTTGAATCATAATTTCAATTAAACTTAGCTCAAATATACAAAAACTCAAATCTAGTCGTTTATAATCCTATTCAACTTTCAACTGAAATAAGTTATAACAATATAAACAAGTCCATTTAAGTTTTGGGTGATAAAATGCACCCTGAAGCTCGTTTGTGAGCTTATAGCCTATATACTTGAAATAAAAGATATACTGTCCGAGCACGCTTTCATCAATTAAGCCATCTTGCTCGCATATAGTCCATATAACAATACAAGGTAGACAAATTTCTGATTCACTAAAACTTCTGATATAATGCAAAATGTACTTGTAATTATTACACGGACCATAACCCGCATTCACTTCAGTTTGCAGCCACATCTGATCAACATTACGATCAGATGGGACTAATTGTTTCTAAACTGCCCCACATTTACAAAAAGAGAAAGAAGTAGATCTCTAAACCTTACAAAATACATTCGCCAAAAAAAATACTCTCTTCCTTGAAGCTAATAATATTAAGTAAATACCCTAATCACTACTATAATCAGTTGATGCAGATTCAGATGTGTCATCTTGATCCCTATCATCACGCATTCCAACTTCATCTCCATTCCCCTCTATCTCGTCTTCAGAATCTGCATTCAAATATCCTCCAACATCCTCTAATTCGCCTTGTTCATATTCACCATCATCAACATCCACATCGTCTTCATCCACATCATCTTCATCCACATCATCTGCAACTTCATCACGGTGATCATCATCTCCGATTTCATCACGATCATCTCCCACTTCATCTTGATCATCATACTCTTCATCGATATCATCAACATTATAATCACTTAAATGAGGTCTGCCATTATAGACAGCAGTATAATCATCAATGGCCATGTCATCATACTCATCCCCTGAAGCTTGGCCATTATAATCATCATCATAGTCTGATCGCTCTGAGTTGCTATCATCATTGACATCAATCTCATCCACTTGCATCGGTCTACTCTTAACATGATTCCATTCACCCCTTCCAGAGAAACCAGGAGGAGATTTATCGAAGATAATTGGCTCAGGCAGACTCCTTCCACCAACAGAAGATGCCACCTTTTTAACAGGTTTCTGCTTCTTTCGGACAGAGCGACGACCACGCTTACATCCTCCTTTACCACGACTACTGCGGCCTTTCCATCCACCAAGTACCTCGCCAAGTCTCTCATTAGAGGCTAACCCTCTGCTAGGTCCACCACCTCGGGAGTTAGCAACCCTTCTTTGGGATCTACCACCACGGGATCTACCACCACGGCCACGGCCACGACTACCGCGTATAGAAGCAAATCCAAGATCACCGTGATCAAACCATGCATCTTCCTGTTGATGGTCACCTGGTGGACCAGCAAGCTCATCATCTTGGACAGTTCTCACAACAGCGTACTTGGAAGGAAGATTCTAATGCAAAAAGAAAAGAAAAACAAGAGTGAGTACATACACAAGTGTTCCCAACTGTTCTCACAATAAGTAATTATAATTTAGTGAAAACTATAATTCAAGAGCAAAAATCCATGGCAAAATAATAAAACAATGGTCCAGCAAGAACTTGTTCTTCAGCTTATTTTAGAAATTCTAAATTGGCAGAAACAGGATTCCACAGCTAAATCTCTATTAAATCATTATTTATGAGACCTACAAATTAAGCCAAAGACATACCAGGAAGTGCCTAGGCTCTGTATCCTTTGGTTTCTGATCAGGCAGATATGAAATTGCTGAATCAAGTTCCATGAGCCGTAAAGCCACTGCTGCTGTTGTTTGGGGTACCCATGGAAGCATAGTCACAGTGCCAAAATTTGTGGAATCGTTAACATACCCAGTAGCATTAGCATTATCGGAAGCCAACAATTCACTTGTTGTCTGAAAATTTGACAGCAAGAAATCCCTCTTTATCACTCCTTCAAGTACTGTAAGGACCTGATGACAAAGAAAAGTTGAACCATACACACACATCAGGTTGTAACAAAATTGCAGAACAAAACAGGCAAGACAAGAAGACAATCTGAAAGAATAGACTCCCATGTAGGTTAACATAACATGATAACACTGCAGATTTAGAGAATGAGAAAGCAATATAACCTGTAGAAGGTCTTCTGCGGATGCTGAAATATGTAGCTTCATACCCCAGGATTTTCGATAGGCATCTGACCAAACAGGTTGAAGGGCTTCAGGAGGGATGCAAACCTGTTAAAAAGAATAGCAATATTAATCATATAGATATATAAGAATTGGGACAGAGCAGAATGTCATAAAAGTAAGAAGATATGATAAATCACCTCCACTAGAGCTAAGAGGGCCTTGATCAATCTAATTCTTGGAGGAGGATATTCTAGACGCTGGAGGTTCCACTCAAGATTAACTTTAATCTCCTGGCATTGGGCTACGTGATTAGAGAAATTAAAGCTCTGGTCAAATACACTATATGTTTTATGGCATGAAGGGCAGTGATTCTCTTCGAAAAAGTATACATCATGGCAAGAATCACATCTGCACACCAACTCCATACACCTCTTCTTCCCATACTTAGTGGCACATAAAACCGAGGAAGAGAAACATTCTCTAAACATCCACTCTTCAAAATTTTTGTACCTTTTAAAGGTATTCTTTACTTCAAGATTGTTTCTACCACTCTCAATCTTGAATGACGATGAGGGTTCAGGCACCTCAGAATTTGATGCACAAACAGTACTGTTAGGGCTATCAGTACCACCACTGCTTTCAGGGTTAAAATGTACTTCAGAAGCTTCGGCTTTAATGGAAACAGTGTTCTGTCTATCCATGTTAGGCTGCTTTCTAATGGACTCCTTAAACAGAGACTCAACTTTTCGCAATAATGCATGCAAATGACATTCTCTAACCCCACGTACATCCAATGAAGCTAAGAGAGCATCAAAACCCTGCATTGAGTAAAAAACAAAAATAAATAAATATATATATATATATATATATATAGGTATTAAAGTGCTGGCCAGGGACAAATAATCCTTAAATTAAAACATTTTAGCTCTTGAGCACTTCAAAGAAACCAACAAGGGAGGGAAAAAGATAAGAGACATAACCTCTTCAGAATCAATAAGCCTCCAACCACCATTATGCAATTCAACAAATATCCTGCCAGCACCAGGATCATTACAAGAAGCAGACGCAATAAACTGCCAGTAGCGATTTCGTCGACGATCCTGACCAAGAGGTAATGACCTATAAACATACATTTCCTCAGCTTTGTAGCCAATATAAGACTTCAACTGAGCACGGCACCTCTCAGCAGCATACACAGACTGCTGCAAAGCAAGATTATCTGAACCCGCAGCAAGGTTTGGTGTTGTCAAATTCTTCTCAGAGGGGAGGTCTGCTTGTAAATTATTATCATTATGGGAATCAAAAATTGGCTTTTGCTGCATTTCAGGATTAACCATAGGCTCAGTACTATTTTCATCAAAAGCAAGCATCGGACTCTGCCTACTATCAGGTGCAGATGCCATTGTGTTTGATTCTGTCTTGTTTGTGACATATGCTGCATAAGGAGTCTTCATCAGATACTCCTCTTTCAAGCGGCGCTTATCCAGCTGAGCTTCAGCCCACATTTGCTTTTTCAGTGCCGTTGCTGCTTCTAAACGCTCCTAAAAACATATTACATGCCAGAATATAGCAACAAAATCAAATATTGGCAGAAATAGAACATAAAAGAACTTCAGTGACGGTGCAAGAAAGAAAGGGAGGGGGGACACCCGGGAAAGGAGTAAAAAAAGACTTAAAAATTCAACCTCTAGAACAACTCGGATTGTGTTTCCCTCAGTAGCCACACCAATAAGGGCAACAAGAGCATTGAGGCGCTCTTCAACACTAAGATTAGAGTATTCTCCCTCCATAAGTCCTTGAACCCAAGGTTCACCACGAAAGCTTTCATCAATATCAGTGTCTTCATGATCAGTATTATTGCCCTCTTGGCAAATTCCGCCAACATCCACAGAATCCTCAACAAAACATCCATTATCACTCATCTCCTTAAAGCTTTCCAAATGAGCTGAAGACAAAGCACCACTGGTGTCTGCAAGTCCATTAGATGTGTTATCAACATGGGAATGCAAATCCCTACTAACATTGTCTGGATCAACTTTTGGTACACAACTATTCCCGTCATAAGGAGGATTTACATCTAGGTTTGGAGTCAGCTCAGTACCCAAATCATCAATCTCAGGATCTTCAGCAATATCGCTTTCAGAGTCTTCATCCTTCTCAACATCATCAACCTCCATCCCATCAACATCTGCCTCTACTCCATCTACAAAACCACTTTTAAATATCTGAATTTTTTCCCTGGCAGAAGATAAAATGGCTTCTCCATCAACAGGATCCTTCCTGTAGGGAGAGCGCACACAGTACGTTGAAGGTGCAGTTCTTTCAAAAAGTTTCGTATCTCTAGATAATGCTGCTGCAATTGATGCTTCAGGGGTCTTGCTTGTGGTCAAGTCACGAAGTCCAGATTTCTAACCCCAAAAAAAAAATTAAAAAAAAAAAAAAAGGAAAGAAAAGAAAAGCTTTGTAAATATTAGTATGAAGTATGACAATGAAAAGAAGTTATAAACCTGCAGGTATCAATGCCCTCACCTGTATCCTATCAGCAACTTCCAATATATTAAGTCCATTTGCCCCCTCAATAGACAAAACATGAAAAGCAGCAAATTTGACTGTGCCAGGAGTGAGTCGATGCCTTGACTTGCGTGGGTTAGAGTAACCCCTCTCCCGCATAATAGCCACAGCACTTTCAACTGCTGCTCCGGTACGTAAATTAGATATTATGTCAATACCATCATTGCCCTGAAATTATTAGTTTAAACACAGATATGAGGCTTGCAACACAATACATGCAAAAACAATAACCAGAGAGAAAAATTTCATCTTGAAGAAATAAAAGTTCATGAAAAAACTAAAACTAGGCATTAATTGCCGTATGTGAATTGCCTAAAATTACAAAACCTACCAGACTGGATAACATATACAAATGTTCAAAAAAATTGTCATGATGAACTGGTTGGCAATGGACTTTAAAACCATAACTGATTAAAAATCAAAACAAATGACTCATCACACTGATTTATCTTAAACTGAAATTTAAAAAATGTCATGATGAACTGGTTGGCAATGGACTTTTCTCGTAGGCGGCCCATGACCCAACCTGAAAAAAAAAAAAAAAAAACAAAAACGACTAACAAGTTGGGTATTTTTGAAGGAAAAATTGCCTGGAATAATCCCACCTCTGAGTCATCCGCCCAAACTAATCCCACCTTTGGATTGTTTTTAAATAATCCGACCTTTATAGTCAATCCGCTCCTAATGGTCCCAAGTTACCAGTAAGTAACTGGTTGAGTAGGTAATTTTTTTTAATTAAGTTTAATTTACACGTGTCATCACGTGATTGGTCAAAAAATAATGTGTCATCACGTGATTGGTAAAAAAAAAAAAAAAAAAAGCCTAAAATTTAAACCAAACCCTAGCCCCACCACGACCCAGCCACCTCCCTGTCGGCTGTCCCTACCGTCGGCCTAGACGAGGCCCAGATCCACTAGCTTCCCCGCGCGGTTCACCGACCTACCCTACCCCCTTCCATCGCCACTAAACCACCACAACCAATCAACCGTTACCGAAATCAAGGTTAAGGCTAGGTGGGAGGACTGGGTCACCGACTATAATACGGTCGCCGGTAAGGGGATAGGCTAGGATTTCGTGGGGCAAGGGGTTGGCGCTGGGCGTAGGATATCATTAGCAGGGGTAAGGGTTTGTGCGCTAATTGGAGTCGGGGTTGGGGCTCGCTGGCAGGGGTTGGTGGTTGTTGTAGCTGGTTAGGGTGGGAACTGCCGGTGAATCGAGGGTTTGGATTTAACGAGGCTGGTTGGTGGTTCCGGGGGAGGAGCGTTAGGCTGGGCGTGGCGCGGCGTCGTCGGAATCGGCAGGTCAGGTAACCTGTTATAACAAGTTACATGACCGGTTGGCACCATTAGGAGCGGATTGACTGTAAAGGTCGGACTATTTAAAAATAATCCAAAGGTAGGATTATTTTGGGCAGATGGCTCAAAGGTGGGATTATTTAAGGCAATTTCCATTTTTGAAAACCCTTCGTCATAATAGGTACTCAATAGAATAGTCTTGATGATGTATAATTTATATTTATTGCTAATTGCTAATTAAAGATAATATTGGTGAAAGTTTTTTTATGTTGGCAAATGCATCTATTAAACAGAAGTACTTACAAAAAACATAATAAACAAACTAGAATCTGAAAACATAAACTGCATTTACTAACTAGATGAGCAACAAGGATTCGAAACTTGGACCGAACGAGATACACATAAGGTCTTGCACCAACAGCAGATGAACTAATGAATTGTTTCATGGATGATTAAAGAGCTATAATTCAAACTACTATATTAACTTTGACAAAACCACTACCAAGCTCAGTGGAAGGTAAAAGCTACTTTGCAATGTTTTGTTGAATAGGGAGGGTATGACAATTGACAAACCTAGGTTATTACAAGATCAGATCAACTACTGCAATGAGATCATACCTCATTTTCCTCGCGTGAATATGCCTGCTCAACATTTCTTTTTTTAAGTTTTGGCCCAAAACCTGCAGAAAGAGAAAATTGCCGGAGAACTTCTGGCCATGTCAATGGACTTAAGTTGCACTGCCAGCTGCGTATATCAAAACCCCATGCATATGCCTGGTAAAACACATTATAAGCTTCAATGTTTTTTCTTTTTTTTTTTTTTTTTTTTTTTTTTTTTTTGTGTGCATGCAGGCGCATGTGTATATGGAGAAAGGGTAGGGGACAATTGAGCAGCAAAAAATAGAGCTTACCCCTTCAACAATCTGAGGATGTCCGCCAACAGGATTACCCACATTGTTTTGGTTTACACCAAGCCCTGTAGTCGGTGTTCTAGCAACATCCTCAACATCCTTGATGATAGTTCTCAGAAGAGATACATGTATTTCTCCAAGTAGGCGAGGATCCTGCATGAACGGCAAACATAAAGAATGGTAAGATTGCTATCTTGAGCATAATGATGCTGATTCAGTAAATATGTAGAATATGGAAAGTTCATGAACTTACATAGTCATGAAAAGCTTGCACGAACTCGTCTAGAGTAAATGGCCACAATCCAAGAACATCAGCAAATGTAATTAGAAATCTCCAGACCTGAAATCAAGAATAGTATTTCAACAATAAATATACAACAAAAAGAGACATGAGCACCCATCATAAAGTATCTCGGAAGGGAGAGAACGGCATCATCAAATAAAATATACTGTATAAGAGAAGCAACAATGTGAACAAAAAAAATGTCAAGTGTAGCACTTCAGTTCCTGGAGCACCAAAATAGGTCAAACACCCTTCCCCGGCACCCCAAACATAGCACACATACATGCACAAACATGCACATCTTGGAAGCAATTAGCTTCAGCCATTAACATGTAGGTGTATCAGAATAAAGTTGAACCAGTGATAAGCCAAAGAAAATCTCAAATAATATACTGGCATTCACTAAAATTGGACCATAATTCAACAGGTGAGTTGGTTATATCCTCAATTCCGTACCTATCTATCTGATTCATTGAATTCCTAGCTAAAGATGATTGCACAGTTCATCAAAAATAGCCATTCTTATCATCATATTTTATACAAGCCATCTGCAATTCTACAATTCTTATCATCAAAATTTGAACACAACAGCCTCTATGTAAGTGAGGCTTCATGCATTCATTTTAATTCAACTGTCCATTCTTTGATGCATAAGATACGATATAGCATTATTTTGTATGGTCATGGCAGCGTATCAATTCAATACTTAGTCAAGAATGTAAGATAATCAGAGATGAAGCCTATACATAGGTGAATAAAAGTACAGAAATACAAGCACACTTAAGGAATACTAATGCTTATTAAATCCTCTTAGTTAGAAAATGAAAACTACATAAGGATTGCTCAGTCTCACCATCAAAAGATTTCCCACATTTTCTTCGGAACCCATCCATGGCCGCATTGCAAACGGCTTCTTCAGCTGCACGGACTTTGGTGGGAACACCCGCAGCATATCTAAAGCACAAATACCAATTAGTTATGACGGATAAGCTTAAGTTGTAAAAAGAGTGATCAACTATATATCGTAGATCAATTAGATCCACAACACTGACTTTATTTTTAGGATCTATTATTATTTCGAAAAAGGCTCTCATTCTGATGTGACACTTCCTATTTTAAAAATGCTTATAAACACTTGATGGTAAAAGTTACACGGAAAAATAGAGGAAAAAAAAAAGGTCCCATCTCAAACTCTGAAATCATAGCTCAACATGTCGCTCAAAAAAGGCCTAACAGATACAACATACTACCCGATCACTCCTATTAAGTACTAAATAGAACCAAAAAAACAATAATAGTAATAATATTTAAGTGAAATACTGAAATGTAATTGTGATAGAGAATATAGGGAGAAAAAGTAGTATAGCAAACCATTAGAATTGAAAGAGAAGAGTGTTGATATGATGAAAAGAAAAAAAAAACTTCATTTTAAAATGTAACAAGTATTTTGTTGGGAATTTCTAAGACGGAGATGGAGAAGTTGAACACAGGACTGAGAAAATAAAAGACATATAATTCAAGATGGACACCAAGAGCAGCCAAGGTACCACCACACCAACTGCCAATTGATCCTGCGAGCAAAATTCACTATTCACACTATGTAATACAGATTGTTGACCCTATAAACACTACCATCCAATGTAAAATCTATCAATAGAGGATTGAGTAGTCGAGTCTGGGCTGTTGTACAGATGGGTTTCATTGCTAATTATTCCAAACTAGTACAGAGCCCAAAGCCTTTACACGGGTCTGTGTTTTATAACTTCAAAAGGCATCAAAGAACATGTCATTCAGTAAAATCATAGTAGCTACCTCTAAACGAATCAAGATTTTGCAAAGTTTCACTGTCAAGTGACAATATGGATGTTAAGCACTTTCTTGAAGCGGCTATCTCCATCAGCTCCAATCTCTCATCTTCAATAAGCTCCGTCGATTCTTTGGCAAGTCTTCTTGCAACAGCTCTATCATTAGCAGCTTTCTGTCTAGCTGCTTCTCTTTCCCTACGCAGTTCTTCCTTTTGCTTCATTTTCTCAGCCTGTATTAGAGTAAGATAGTTAGACATCCTCAAATAAGAGGGTATGTGATAGATTCCTATCTTAACTTACTCTAATCGACTCTTTCAACAAAAACTTTTCTCGTCGCTCCATTTCACGCTTTTGCTCCCGCTGGTATCGTTCCTCTTCCCGCTGCTTTTCACGCAATAGCCTTTCCTCTTCCTTCCTTCGCTCGCGATCTTGCTTCTCCATATCTTTCTTCATTTGTTCTTCTCTCTTCAAACATAAATGATTTAGGTTAGTCACAAATAAAATGCAACAGAATAAAGCAAAACCGAAAAAAAAAAAAAAAAAAAAAAAAAAACACACACACATACACACTCAAGAATTGATTACCTTCCTCCTCAAAATATCTTGCCTCTCTAGTTCTTTCCGCATTTTTTTCTCATGGGCTTCAATTTCTTTGGCTATTCTTGCTTCTTCATTCTAAAGCCCAAAATGTACCAATTTACACAATTAATTGCCAAAACAAGGAGCAATCCGAATCAAGGCTTATGCGGAAAAATAAATAAATAAGTAAAACACAAAAAAATGGCTTGACCCAATAGTTGGCAGACTATAAATAATCTGCAATAGCACCTCAAACTAAGTTTTTGAAAAAGGGAAACTATAAGGAAATTCTGGTCAGAAGAATATACCTTCCGCTTCCTTTCCAACCTCCCAGCATCCTCTTCTTGGGTCACGCGCCTCTCGGATGGGATAAGTGCATTGTCCAATGAGTTTGGGTGTGCAGTAAAAGGTGACTCCATACCCATATTTATATAGGGAGACTTCCGGGCAATGGTTTCATAGTCCCCTGAAGTGGACGGCAAGAGGCTACCCCCCTTTCCTTGAGACATCAAATTTAAATTTGGCATCTGATTTGGAACACCATATACCACAGGCACTTCTTCATAACCATGAATGTATGAGCGTCCACTAGATAATGGAGGAGTCTTGGTTCCCGGCCCATCAGAAGGTGAGCCATAGTAGTGAGATTGAGCCACTCTTTCATACGATTCACTTCTTACAGTTGGTTGCTCAGGAAGAAACTGGTACTCATGTGGAGCTCTACTAGAGCCCTGCTAGAAAAACATGCATTAAAAACTCTATATCAACAGCAAAGTACAAAGAGTGCAAAGAATTAGTCAATAATTATTAAGACTAAAAGAAAGCCCCTCATAACAGCAATTTGTGAACCAAGTTTAATAAGACACCCCGGTTTTCCTCACACAGACCTTCAATTTTCATGAATTTACTTCTGAGTTGTGAGTTCATCTGAAACATTACGTACCAGCTAAACTAAATTTTAAAGTCTCTTTCTCTTCAGCTATCACATAAAACCAATAATTTTCATAGCTTCTGATCAATTTTGTCTGTGCAAAACATGTTACAAAAGGAATATTAAATAAAGGAATCAATCAGAAACCACCCACACTGTTCTATGACACCTTGTTACAGTTCTAAAATCCAGTCAGGTCAGCGGATTCTAAGATCACTGAACCCCAAGATCCATTTTTACACAAATACATCTGTACCTAATTCTTTATCTTCCTAAATTACACAAAGAACAGAACTTGATTAATTTCCTTCCCAGTTACCGCTCCAAAGTTCACAACAAATGAAAGGCAAAACAAATACTTCCTCCGTTCCTTTTTAGTTGACACATTTCTTTAGTCAAGTTGTCAATGCACAAATTCATTCAATAATATCTTTAAGTATTGATAAGCAAAAATTATTTTTTTAAAAAAAAGGATGAAATTTTAAAAATTTATAAAGTGACTAATTTAACAAGATCTCACATGACTATTTTTCATCACGTATAAATCACAAAACACGGTCAAAGGGAAGTGTGTGAATAGTGCTAAAGTCAAATCGTGTCAACTAAAAAAAGCGGAGGTGGTACCAACTATAGAGTGCTTTTCAGCAATCTCAAAGGGACATCTCATAAAGGAAAATGTGGCAAATAAAAAGAGACAAAGGAGTAAGCCACATGAGACTTGTAATAATGATGCAACTCTTCTGTCCAAATATATGATGCAAGGAATAAGACCGTAACCAAAACAGATTGGGAAATTATTCAATGAAAAAAATGTATTATAATCCTGAAATAAAGTAACAAAGATTTCATTTTCCAAAAAAAAAAACAAAAAAAGAAAAAAAAAAAAAAACAAAACAAAACAAAAACTCACCTTGACTGGTTTAGCATCAGAGCGCTCATACTCATATGTTCGTCCAGTTGGCTTTTGTGGTGTGATTGAAGTTGCTACATACATGAGATTAATGCTTAATAAATTTTACCATACAAACATGACATTTTCAGTAAGCAGTCAGCACAACCACAGAAAATTCTTCATTTACCCAAATTTCTATAAAAGATCTGATATCACACCTTCAAAAATTAAGGGACTATTAACTCCAAAAAAAAAAAAAGGGGGGGGGGGGGGGGGGGGGGGGCGGGGAATCAGTCACATACTAGGCTGCATTCAAATTTAAACAGATTAATCAATCGCTTAAAACAGAAAAGATTTCAAACATAAACTAAGAATGCATTTGTAAAAATAGATGGTACTTTCTCACTATTTTTCAACAATATCAACTCTGACAGAGTTTTAAAACAGTTTCCTCTTTTTTTTTGGTAAGAAAAAGCTCTTTCCTCTTTTGATTGCAAGGCTAAAACCAATTACTAATGCTAGCATGTTCCAAACACATCATTAGAGTGACCTATCGAATAGCACTAGCTTACTCAAAAATATTAGCTTACCCCATGTGAAATAAGTATTTGCCTCCAGCCAGCCAACAAAAAGTCACATTGTTTCAGAATCCAAAAAACAACACTTCAAACCATACAATGACTACAGATCAAATAGTTCACACAAATCAATTGACACCATCAGCTGGTCAGCGTTCACATCAAATTTAGTTAACTACATTAAATCAGCCAGGAATGACATAGTTCTACAGATAATACAAGCAAAAATAAAATGATGGATCTCATTAATTTTTGCTTCAAGCCATAAACCAAATTATCTCTGATAAAAAAATAAAATTAAGCCAGAACAACAAAAAAGTGAGGCATACCAATTGGAGCACCAAAAGCGCCAGGAGGCAATGGATCAAACTCCATCCCAAGAGCAGGTCCATCATCCCTAAGTGGCTCCCCAAGCTGCGCTTCAACAAATGCAATAGCCCGAAGCTCGGCTACCGATTGAGGCTGCTCATAGTACCTCTTATGCCCACTAAGTCTAGGCAAAGCAACCCCAGGGCGGCTCACATATGCTCGGCGTGGGTCCATATGGCCATAAGGACTAGACCCCGATCCAGACCCTGACCCATGTTCATTACCCAACTCAGCACCCAACATCTCCTCTTTGGGACCCACAGCCGGTAGGATTGCCTGAGTAACAACTGTAGGAGGGCCAACCGTGGCAGTAACAGCAGCAGCAGCCGATGCCGCCGCCTCCCCCTTCTTTGCCCTCTTTCCTGAACCACTGCCACCTGCTGATTGCGGTTTCCTGTCCTTTAACCTCCTATGACAGAACCACATCTGTAATTGCCGATCAGTTAACCCTAATTGAACAGAAAGCTCTGCCCTCAATGCTTCTGATGGGTATGTCGCAACTACAGCAACAAATCAACAAAAAAATTTAAAAATAAAAAATCAATCAAACAATATATATCTGAAACACTTCAAAATTATTATACAAGATGTAAATAAAATCAAAATTGCAGGCAACAAAGAACAAACCTTGATAGGTTTTCTCAAGAACTTCGAGTTGAGAAGCCGTCTTCATCTTTCTCTTAGTTTTAGGCTCACCTCCACCACTACCTCCGCCGCCTCCGCCGCCACCACCACCACCACCACTTTCAGGCGGTTTCTTTTCTCCATCAGAACAACTCCCACCTTCCATTACAAAATTCCCCCAAATTCAACACAAAAACCCTAGAAATCGACGAAAACCGATCTAAAATTACCAAATAACAAAATCAACAACGACCCAGATGAGCAAATACCCCAAATCGAATTGGGTATTTGCAAATCAACGCAAAAAACAAAACTTGAATGAAAATCAGAAGTTAGGTATTTTGACAACGAATAAAAAAAGAGGTAGAAAGATAGAAAGAAAAAAAGAGAGGTATAAATTGCATTAATAATTTTCCAAAAAAAATCAGAAATCAGTGAGACCACACTTTCTCTCTCTAATACCAAAAAGTAGTCTCTCTCTAGAAACTGATTAATTGGTTGTGATTCACGAACAAGAGAAGATTGCTTTGCTTGTTGAATTGGGTAAGATTTTGGGGAATTACGATAATAAAATATAATAATGATAGCAACCAAGTAGAAGTATTAGAAGAATTAAAGCAACAAAATTTGTAGTATTGTTCAACACAGTTATTTGTTTCTCTTAGAAAATAATTAATAATAATACTATCGTAAAAATAATAAAGAGAAATAAAACAGTTGGTGTAATAATAAAATTATAAAAAGGGATTGTGATTGTTGTTTTTGTGGGAATTGATTAAAGGAGCTGCTACGAACAAACGAACGAACAGTCTTTCTCTCTCCACTACTACCTTCCATCTCTCTCTTCCTAAGATTTTCCCTTTTTTTTTGGGTTTTTACAATTTTTATATTTATATTTTTTTGTTCTTCTTTTCAATTATCGAAGAAAAAAACAAAATAAATTAGTAGGATTAAAAAAGAACAGGAGTGAGTGGTTAAAGTTGATATTCGTGGAATTTTTTTTGACTTAGATTCACGATTCCAGGAATTCTATGCTTATTTTCCTTTTTTTTTCGTTTTGTTATTCCAAGCGTTTTAATTTATTTTTTTTTCCTGGAGTACGAGTAGTAGTTTATTTTTTTCATACAGTTCTACGCTTCCACCCATATTCTGTTTTGAGGATTTTTTTTTTTTTTTTTCTTTTAAGGAAGTTTTTTTTTCAATCCTCTTTAATCTTTTTTTATTATTATTACTCGTTTTGTGCCCCATGCAACCCGGTTGTTTATTGAATTTTAAAATAAAAACAAGTTATCTAAAATATATATGTTATACGAATTTCAAAAAAAAATTATATGCTCCCGGTTTACAATAATTTATTGTAAATCGGGCGTCACCTTACGAGCCAAATTTTTTTTTTTTTTGGAAAAATTGACATTTGCCACCAGCGAAAACACCCCGTGTCACATTTACTTCTTGTTTAAAAAAATATTTTAAATTACTATCACACAAATTCCCTAACTGTATATATTGCTACCACTTAACAGAATCCGTTAAGGTTCTGTTAAGTGGGCCCCATATTTCTTTAAATAATAATTTAAATTATATAAAAAAACTTTTTAAAAAAAATTCTCAAACATTTCCCCTCCCCTGTCCCGGCGTCAGCCACCCTCCCCCCCCCCCCCCCCCTCCCCTTGCTAGCGGCCAAATGTTTCCCCGAAGTCGGCGAACCCCACCTCCTCCATTTCCCCTCCTGCCAACCACCCCTAACCTCGTGGTTGGTGCACCACCCGCCGCTGCTAAACTGTCACCTCCGCCGCGAAATTCCACCAAATTCTTCATCGGCAGCGCCCCGACCTTTCCCCTACCCCTACGCAGCCAACGAACCCCTTTCGCCTTCTTGTTGCCCCGACCACCAGCCCCAAACCACCAGCCAGTCGAAACCCTAAAATTCGAAATCGAATTCGAAATCCTAAACCACTAGCCCCAAACCACCGAAATCGAAATCGAAACCCTCGTTTAGGGTGGTTTGGGGGTGGTGGTTTAGGATTGGGGATGGCCGAAAGGGTATGGGGAGGGGAGGGGGTCGATTTCGATGGGGGAATAGGGAGGGGGGATTTCTGATGGGGGAAAGGGAAAAGGGGGTGGTTTTCGGTTCGGGGTGGGGATCGGGGCAGCAAGAACGGGAAATGGGAGAGGGGGTTGGCTGCGTAGGTGGGGGAAAGGGAGGGGTGGAGTCGCACCGGCTCCGACGCCGACAGGGTGGAGGGGGTGGCAGTGAAGTGGATGGGTAGCTGCAAGGTGGTTGAACAGTGGCTAAAACTCACTAACGGAAACGGTAACGGTAAAGTCATTTGGTAGTGAAATATATATTTTAGGGATTTGTGTGGTAGCAAAATAAAAAAAATTTAAACAGGTAGCAAATGTGACACGGGGTGTTTTCGCTGGTAGCAAATGTCAATTTTTCCTTTATTTTTTTAAAATTTCATAAAAAACGACGTGAAAAACTGAGAACATTTTAACCCTAATTTTAGTAATCGCAAAGCAACAATGGAGGAGAGAGAAACTGAGAAAACGCAGAGAGAAAATGCAAAATTGATTACCTTAGGGATTCGATCGATTCGATCATTAATGGAGGATTCATCAGCAATCTGCAATTCATCAAATTGCAGTAATTTGATCCACGATTTTCTACAACAACAGAGGCAAATTTAAACACCATTGTTAGGTGATTTCGACCTTAATCGCACAATAATAGAAGATGAAATAGAGAATTTTGTGGATGATAACATAGAAACTACTCAAATTGATGATGAACACAGAGAAGCGCCATCAATGAACGAGGATAGAGAAAGTATAAGCACGAATCAAGACACTAGAGGTAATCAAATTGACAATGCAGAAGATATAGAAAATCAAGTGGTTCCTCGTAAGTCAATTGATTCAAATTCACCACAAACATCCAAATCAAATGAAACTAATGGCTTGTTTGGGTTTAAGGTTTTCATTTCAAATCCAAGAATTTGGCCAATTATGTTGTTTGGATAATTCAAATACTTGGATTTGTATTTGGCCCAATGTAACACCCTAGAAATTCCAATCTTTTAAAATACCTGGTTTGTCCTGTTTAAACTTTAAATAGGAATATCTGAGACATTACCGCCACCGTGAAAATGGTTAAGAAAATTATCAAAGACACACAGCGGAAGACTAATTTCAAAATCATTCAAAACAAGTCAACTTAACACAGTCAACCGACGAAAGTAAAGTCAAACCAAAGTCAAACGAAGTAAAATAAAATCAACCTACAACTTGGAACCATTATAGGCCATTATTAAAACCAAACCAACTTCAAAAATTTTGCGTTAGGCATGCATAATAATAATATCATAAATAATTAAAGCATTAAACACATCATATATTCATAGAAACTAGCATGATTCGCTCCACTCATGCCCATTCATGAATATGCTTCATCACCTGAAAAGCTTTTCTCTCTACTTGTTTCCACTACTCTCCATTAAAAATGGGTCATCATAGGGCCAAGATAAAGACAAGGCCAATAAACACCCAAAACACACAATCAGCATAGCTGAGTACATAAGCGTAATTAACACACTAACATACAATTACCTATCAACACACAACTTACCTTGTTCCGCCTATTTTTCAAGCATACAACATTCAACAAAACTTCTCACTAGGCAACTACATAAATTTTTTTAGCATTGATTACGCATCGAACGGGTTTCCCCACTAACCCCCCCTGTTACTGACACGGGAGCTAACCGTGCCAACATCAATAACCACTCGTAAGTGGAAGAATTCCTACGCATAATAATAATAAAAGGAATGTACAGCGTCCCGTACTCCAGTAGAAGTTATGATCATATATAAAGTCACATAACTCCCCTCATATGTTCATACTCAAGGTATATACGTTCCAAGAGTTTAGGTGCGTAATCTCTTTCACTTTACGTTATTTACATATTATTAAACTTTTTGATGACTCTCAAACTATAATCATTCACTACAAGAAAAAGGGGAATTCGCAACTGATTTTTGCGACTACCGTAATAATCAGTCGTAAAAATTATTTTTGCGACTGAAAAAGACAAGGAGTCGCAAATTTTGCAACTGATTTTGCAGTAGTTGCTATGCGGTCGCTAATTAGCAACTAATTTTTGCGACTACCATAATAATTAGTCGCAAAAATAATTTTTGCGACTGCAAAAAACGAGTAGTCGCAAATTTTGCAACAGATTTTGTAATAGTTTCTATGCGGTCGCTAATCTGTGACACTTTTATGATTTTTTGCGACTAAATTGTAGTTGCTAAGGTTAATAATTTTGAAACAATTTTTTTAAAAAAAATTGTGGCTAACATTACAACTAACAGATAATCGCTACAATTATTTTAAAAATTTGTTAAAAAATAAATAAAAAAAAACCCTTGATGTTGTTGTCCCTAATAAACTAGAACTATCAATCCTCTTTATTCATAATACGTACAGTATCTACTCCTCCTATTCTTCTTCCTCAAAAAAAAAAGGCAAACTTCATAACTTCATATTGAACCTGTCGTCGTCGTCTTCACATCTCCTCCCAGGTTAGTTATGCATTATTCCCCTTCCTACCGTCCATTTCATCTTTCTCTTACTGCAATTTTCCAATAGCGCATTTTAGGGTTATCATTGAGTTTTTTGTCCACTGATTTTATTTTAATATGTTTTCAATTGCGAAACTGCGAATTGAGTTTAATTTGATAGTTGATTGAATTAATTGAATTGCAAATTGATTGAGTTGCGAATTGATTGGATTGATCTTAATCTGGTTTCCATTGCGAATTGATTGTATTGGTATTATTCTGGCTTCCAATTGCGAATTTTAGGGTTATTATTGAAGTCAATTGGTGTAAAAAACCATTCAAAATTGATTGATTATGCAAAAAGACCTAATTATTTTCAATGTAAAGATCTAAATTCTGGTTATTCCAACTTTGGTTTTTCTTTAAGTGGGGTTTATTGATTAGAGTGTAGTTCTAATTATAATGGGATAATCAATGGACGGATGGATTGATTGGGGTGCTTATTTAGCACACATACTTCAGTATTTTTTGTTGATGCTTAGCATAGATTAGTTGTACTAGGTATATCAGGGTAGGAGCTCTTCCATGTGCATATTGATGCTGAATTACTAGCACATGAATAATATGAAACGATATCTAGAACACGCTTTCCTTAACAGGTGTATGGTTCATATATAGATGTAGCAAACATTTAGAAGTGAAGACTATAACTACTCTCTGTTTATCCTCTGCTTTGCGAAGATTTTCCGACTGTTTAGTTCTATATTTTAACTTGAACTTGGTAGACTTCATTTTGGGTAGTGTAGACACCACTAGTAGAAAAATGTACATTTGCGTCGCCATATTTGCGTCACTCACTCTAAAGAACGAAGCAAATGTATATTTTTACCATCCTTTAAAGTTATTTGCGTCGCTTGTTATTGAAGAAGCGACGCAAAAGTCAAGTGTATTTCAGCTTATTATCATTTGCGTCGCTCTTATTTATTGAAGCGACGCATATAATAACCTTATTTGCGTCACTCATTTATTGACAAGCGACGCAAATAAGTGAGTGAAAAAATTGCGTCACTCTTTTAATAAATGAGCGACGCAAATGACAAATTTTCAGCATTACAGATTTTATTATTTGCGTCGCATTTTTATAATTAAGTAACGCAAATAACTCTGTTGCATTTAGGTTGTTCATTCTGCGCTTTTTTGACCTTAGCTTTTCACGCCTACCTTTCACTAATTCACTAAACAAAAAGATAAAAACAGAGTTGCTTCCAGTGAATTTCTACAGAAAAACACCCACAAATTCGACCCTGAAATCCAACAAATTCGCCCAAAAAACT